GCTCAGCCAGTGAGCAAACCGGCCATCCCTATATAGGATCTGAACCTGCGGCCTTGGTGTTATCAGCACCGCACTCTACCGAGTGAGCCACAGGCCGGCCCAGGCTGTCAGGATTTTATATATCAATAAAAACACTGTAACGTAAGTGTAAAACAATGTGAAGAATGTGTATAACATACTGCTATTTATGTAAAAAAAAAAAGTATGTGTATACTTATATATGTATGTATATAAAAATACATATTTGCTTGCAATGTACATAGAATATCTCTGGAAAGATAAACTGGTAATAATGGTTGTCTTCTGGGGGAAAAAAAGAATGTTCCAGATTAGGGAGATTTTTCTTTTTTTCTTTTTTTTTTTTTAACGAGAAGTCTTTTCTCTGTTTCCAACTCTCAGGGCAATAAAAAGAGGCTCTTTTCCTCAGTCAAGAGAGGAAGCAGGCTCTGTGACCACCCGCCTGTTAGCAAGTACCTGCTCATCCTTGGTGTTGACCGCCACCGTGTCTGCCCCCATCACAGCGCAGTCCTTCTGACTCTCATTCCAAGATCGTATCACAGTGGAAATTAAGTAGCAGCTGGACTGAAATGAACTCCAGAGTGTTGCGCAGCAGCTCCAATCTTTCAGAATGAGTATAAGAGAAACAAAAATAAAATTAAGAGCAAGTAGCCAGCATATAAAGCTATAAGGCACACTAAGGTTTAATTAGGTTTCATTAGTGATCTTTACTGATTTTCCAAAACTGAATGTATTTGCTGGTATATTTATGAATCCCTAGATCATTTTACTCTAGACAGGGACCAGCAAACTTCCTGTAAAGGGCCCGATAGTAAATATTTTAGCCTTTCTGGGCCATACAGTCTCTGTAGCAACTACTCAACTCTGCTGTTGCAGCATCAAAGTAACTGTTTTTTTTTTTTTTTAAAGATGACCGGTAAGGGGATCTTAACCCTTGACTTGGTGTTGTCAGCACCACGCTCACCCAGTGAGCAAACCGGCCATCCCTATATGGGATCTTAACCCATGGCCTTGGTGTTGTCAGCACCACGCTCACCCAGTGAGCAAACCGGCCATCCCTATATGGGATCTTAACCCATGGCCTTGGTGTTGTCAGCACCACGCTCACCCAGTGAGCAAACCGGCCATCCCTATATGGGATCTTAACCCATGGCCTTGGTGTTGTCAGCACCACGCTCACCCAGTGAGCAAACCGGCCATCCCTATATGGGATCTTAACCCATGGCCTTGGTGTTGTCAGCACCACGCTCACCCAGTGAGCAAACCGGCCATCCCTATATGGGATCTTAACCCATGGCCTTGGTGTTGTCAGCACCACGCTCACCCAGTGAGCAAACCGGCCATCCCTATATGGGATCTTAACCCATGGCCTTGGTGTTGTCAGCACCACGCTCACCCAGTGAGCGAACCGGCCATCCCTATATGGGATCTGAACCCATGGCCTTGGTGTTATCAGCACCACACTCTCCCGAGTGAGCCACGGGCCGGCCCATCAAAGTAACTGTTGACAATATGTAAACCAATACGTATGTGTGACTGTGTTCCAATCAAATTTATTTATAAAAGCAGACAGCTGGCATGGGCCTTGGTTTTCCAACATCTGCTTTAAAACCACAATAATTATCTTACAGACAAATAATTTAACTCCAAGTTCATATGAGCCATCTCCACATCTGACAAAAATAATCTTGAGAATTTTACATTTTTCTTTATTAATCATAGATATAAATATCCTTCAGAGTTTATATCCCATCAAAAAGATGAACCTAGGATAAGATAGACCTGGGTTGCAACTTCATTTTCTGCACTGTAATTTTGGGAAAGTCATAAAACCACTCTGAGCCTTTCATATTTTTCTTTTCATTTGTAAATAGCGTTGTTTCTCACACAGAATTTTGAGAGGTTGAGGCAATATAATATATGCAAAACACCAAAGAGCTGTAAGTGCTCAAAAATATCAGTCCTCCTTAGAAGCAAAAGTTTTTGTCATCTTTTCAGGGAAGTACTGATTAAAAACAAACAAAAGGTTGCTTTTTCTTCTCTTTGAATGGAATGAGTAATTCCTAGCACACAGAAGGCACATGTCTGACAGTGCCCAACCTCCCTTGGCTCACATGTTATAATTGCACTGAATATATATGCATTGAAGGTCATAAATACACCTGAGGCTGAAGAACTAAATACACAAATAGACAATGACCTAACCATATATAAAAATAGAACTCTGACCCATAACAAGCCCAGGAAGTCAAAAACCCATAATCAGCAAACAGTCCAGAAGCCAAATCACAACCACTAACAATTGGTCTATACGGCCAGGAATTAACCAATAGCTGACAGCTTTCCTAATTTTTGTCTCTGATTCCAACTCAGGATCAACCAGAGAAAGCCAAATATGCTGCCCTAATCAATTAAATAGGATGCCCAACCTCTAGTTAGGCTGCCTCCAACTTCCCTACTACAAAAGCTTCCAGTCAGGACATTCCTGAAGCCTTCCTCTTATAAGTAGCTTTTGCTTGTTTTTGTTTGGGTGGTTTTTATTTATCTCCATAGGATTATTTTTCTTTGGCTCTCTGTCTTCAAAGTATGCAAGGCCAGCCCTATTGTTCCATGCATTATGCCTAATTCTACATGCCTCTGTGTCCGAAGATCTGAACTGAGCATGGGGTTAACTGGAGGACTGATTGTGATGAGCATTTTGACATCAAGTTCAATGTATGTTCTCCAAGTTCAGCTTCACCAAAAACAAAATCAGTGTTTTTGTGTCTATCCTTCAAACTGCAGCAAAACCCAGAGGCCAGAGAGGGAGGAATATCAGCATTCTCTGTGGTGGACAGCGATGCACTACCCAGATCCCGTTTCAATGAAGGACTTGTTCCTCTGCTGCTGGGAGTACTACTGGCAGACACCCCCACTGTCAGTCCTTTCAGGGATGTCGCAGGTGCAGACAGACACCTTACCAATGTCACACTTTTTCCTGAAGTAGCCCACATTCAATGACTGATTGATGCAGTGGTATAACAGCCTGGACATCCAGGCCAACTCAGTTGAACTCTAAAAAGCCAGTCTAGGCGCTGGGCCGTGGCTCACTCGGGAGAGTGCGGTGCTGATAACACCAAGGCCACAGGTTTGGATCCCATATAGGGATGGCCAGTTAGCTCACTAGCTGAGCGTGGTGCTGACAACACCAAGCCAAGGGTTAAGATCCCCTTACCAGTCATCTTTTAAAAAAAAAAAAAAAAGAAAAAAGCCAGTCTAGTAGACTACGGACTTTCATCACAGCTCAGCTTTTTCCTCTGACCAAACCCGCTTGTGTCTGCTCTTTCCCAGACTCCCTAATTAACACCCCCCACACTAAACTCCTTCTCAGAATTAGTTTTCCAGGGAACCTAACCTGGACACCCTCAAAACCCAAAACTTGATGGATTGACTGTAAAACTGTTAGAATATGTACAAGGATAGTTGAGGACCAAAATTTTCCAGGGAACACCTGGACACCCTCAAAACCCAAAACTTGATGGATTGACTGTAAAACTGTTAGAATATGTACAAGGATAGTTGAGGACCAAATAACATGTAAGGAGATTAAGGTATTTGATGTGATTACTGCCCATGTCTGCAGGCATGCTGCTCTTTAGTAGTCAATGTTTTTAAAGTAGACTTTCATAGAAGTGAATTGCGGCATTTGGAACTTAAGTTTTTGGCTCCTACTCTCATTTGCAGAGTGTCAGCTGAAATTAACAAGGAAAAGTCCGCTATCATAGTTTAAGACCAGTTTATTCTATACTTCAAAATGAATGATTGCAAAATCTGGTCTCAAACAATTAAATGTAGAGATGCTTTTGCCCTGCAGTCAGGAGACATGAAATAAGAATGGCAAAATCATTTCTCTGGGACTTCAGTTTCCAAAGTAGAGGGGGCACAGCTTACACCAGAGCTGATAAGAGCTTTCAAGGCAACAGTAGGTGGAAGAAACGTGGCTCCTTCTATTGTGTTTTTCAGCCAAAATTACAAGACAGAACATGAAGCTGTGAAGCAAGTACATTCCATGTGACGTTCAGAACACTTATATGTGAGAGCCAGTGAATTTTTTAGGTCTAGGCATTAATAAGTATCACTAAACTACCTGCTACCAACTAAGTTTTTCTTTACATAGTTATAAACATTATTGAAGACCAAGGACTAAGCTGTAAAGAAGATAAACTCTTGGATTTATATTTGTTCCCTGGATTTATAATCCTCCTTTTACCACATTGTATCAGGTTGGTTTTGACTCGGATCTAGACGGTGTACTTCAGAGAACTGGATGAGTTGAAAAAAGAAACTCAGCAACAGTGAGTTAGGAGGTGCTCAGTTTCCCTGGGATCAGGGTTCAGGACACACCTCTGGGTTTCAGACCATTCCCCAAGGTCTCAGGCCCTACTCTGGGTCCTCCCTTAGAGAAGAGTTACTGTTGCAAGTTGGACGTATTTTCCTGTTTTCGGACCGACCTGAGAGCTGGGGGCTGACATATGCAAATCCAGTGGCTGGGCATGTTCAGCAGAAAGGGGTTCTACGACCCTAGCGGCCAAGCATGCTTAGTACAGTGGAATGTGTATTCACTAGATAGCATGAATGTGTATTAGATAGTGAGTCTGTAGAAGTTGAATCCCAGCAGAAGGCAGGGTTATTGCTCTCTCTCCAGGGGCTAACCCACGCTTTGTGGGCTGAAGTGCGTGTGCTTTCTTTTGTATCGGGCTTTCTCTCTCTTGAGCCGGCCTGCACTCTGCTAGACTTTACGGGGGTAGATCTTACTTTTGTATTGGACCTGGTGCAGGCCCTGCTCAATCTCTGGAGCTGGGCCACACTTCCTCTGTGAAATCTGTGTCTCTTATTCATTGCATTAAACCTGTTCTCACTTCCTACTGTGGCTCTGCCCTGGTATTCTTTTCTATGGTGGAGTCAAGAACCTGGTAAGAGGACGGGGGGGCGGGGGTGGGGGTGTTGAGGCTACCGCGCCTTCCCAGACCCCTTCTTCTCAATAGAATGAGAAAGAGGTTGATGATCTTTATTATTCAAAAAATACCATTTTCTTGGCTTGAGGTTGAATAAAAGAAAAAAAAAAATACAGCAAGAAATACTAGACCAAAAGCTAAAGAAAATTCAAGAGGCTTGTTTCATAAATACTCTGTACTTAGTCCTTTGACCTGATTACTGTATCGGTTTTAAAGCTTTTACTTTCTGTCTTACAGATAAAAGACTAATGTATTAGAGATCAGGTAAGAGACAAATGAAATGGAAAGAGTCATATATGATATGAGCTACCATTTATAACCGTGATTACTCGCTAATAAATAAGACCTAACAAAGAGAAGTCAGAGCTCAGGAAGCAGACTGGATTGATTGCTTCATAAGGAGCCTGGATTCAGAAAATAATTTAGATGTGTGTTCTTAAAGCTGCAGGAAGAGACTAAAAGAAAGCTATTGGTGAATACCCCCTCCTTTTTTTTTTTTTAAAGATGACCAGTAAGGGGATCTTAACCCTTGGCTCGGTGTGGTCAGCACCACGCTCTCCCAAGTGAGTGAACCAGCCATCCCTGTATAGGATCTGAACCCGTGGCCTTAGTGTTATCAGCACCGCACTCTCCCGAGTGAGCCACGGGCCGGCCCAGAATATCCCCTCCT